ACGCAGTCGTAAAACGCTGCCCTCCTCTAGCTGGCTTGCCGCCGATAAAAACCTCCATCCAACACCGTCTTGCTTATGTTTCACCTGTTTCACAATAATTGAGGGAAATATTAGAACCTTTAACCCAATACAAGAGTGTTAGAATCGAAAACTACCTTTTCGAGAGCTGTGCACACTGCCCAGGTACCTGTGGAACGACTTGCTTATCAACTTATCCAGCGTAACCCGCTTATTGGTTAGACTCGCTGATACTTCGCTGACGCGTAGAACCAATTCTAGTTGTGCACAATTCCGCCATAAAGCGGGCCCCTTCGATCTCAATAAGTGCCAAAACTGTGGTAGTGACTTTGACTACCGAAGTGGGACACATGTGTACCACCAGTAGTCAAAGATTAACTTATGCAGGATGACTCGCTTTAGCTTCTGACGATTCACTGTCATAGTAAGAATTAGAAAGCTTCTATATGTGCACAATTTAGCCATCAAATGAGCGCTCCTGCCCCTATATCTCCTGAAACTGTGGTAGTGTCTTTGACTACCAAGTGGGACACATGTGTCCCACCAGTAGTCAAAGGGTTAAACGGCGGTTGGGATCCTACAGATACTTATGCATGAAGCACAGAAATGAAGTTCATGTTTCCCTGAGCGTTCCTTGGATCGCCAAAAGAGCAGTGGAAAATTTCTCTCAGGAGCTGAGGACTCAATTTCAATATAATGTACAGCATTTGTAGCATTAATAGCTACAAATGCGAGCAAGCCTGACGAAGGTGATACACACAGGAAAATCGTGAAGGTTTCAGAGCGATTTTCTAAGGTTTTCGGAGCTTTTGAGATTTTTGGAACATTCGAGTTTTTTGCGAACTTCTCAAAAACCTCTGAAATAAAATTTGGTGCATTTTTATATTATGCAGCATTTTGATCCTGCGAGTCTCTGGAATGGCACAATATTGAGTACAGCACGAACGTTATCATTAAAGGTAAAGCTCGGGCTCAGACCCACCTAAGAAGCCCTCACCATGGCTAGAAGTGCTGGGTACGCAAGTGCAAAGGTAGCGCCACCTTTCTACATCGAAACGCGTCACTAGGACCCTAGGCGCCATGGACTTCTAACAGACTCCACCAAACTTAACATGGTCCGCCCACCGTTCGATATCTTGTCTGCGTCGCCACGTTGATCTGCTATGCTCTCTCTTCTCGGACTTCTCTACCGCTCTCCGCGCTCACATTATCTCTCATCTCCCTGCCTGTCTTTTGAACTTCTCCACAGCATAGAGCAAAATGCTCGTATTTCCTGTGTATTTCAGGATTTTCTTTCCTTTTTTCTCCACTGGCGGTCCACCTCCCATCCCTACTTTCACATTTGAGTGGAATCAACCCATCAATTTAATCCTGATTCTTGCTTTGAGTGAAGGACTCTAGACATATGGCCTCAAGAGAATAGAAATCAGAGAAATGCAA